TTGATTCTGTGATTAGCATTCCGCTGTATCACCATTCTGTCTATCACTTAACATACAGTAGAGCACAGCGTTGCACTGAAACCCAGTGCTTGTTGTCAGTCGTGTTCAAAGATAAAACGAGACACAGAGATACAATGCGCACACACACATGCATATATTGTATGCGTATACGCACTGAAGCACACACACACATACGGTATAGATATATCAGCTGGCACTCGCACAATGGAGATGAGAGCTCTGACAGCTACAGTTCGCTGAAAGCTATAGAGTTTAGAATATCATTAGTTTTAAAAGGGCAGCCAGACAAGGTGAAGTTATTACTCATTTCTCAAAAGTAGAGGAAGCTGCAGAAAGTTCCCCCCGATCCTTGTCGCTATCTAGAGATTACACCCACATCAACCTTGGATAGGACTCCTGTTTATTGTGCTTTTTAATATACTCTATCACAGACTTAACACTCTAAAAAATGGCCTCTACCTCTGTTGTCTGGAGGTTATAGAAGTTGCTCTCCGCCATCTTATCTGCACGGTAAATAGTGCAGTAGTTTTAGGACCGGGAGACATGAACAGATTAGGCAGAACGTAAGAGAGGAGGCTCCTGAATGATTAGTATTCTGCTTGGTCTCCTGCGGGTGGCGGCGCTCGTAGTCGATTGGCTTCCATTAACCTGCCAGTCTGCTCTTCATTACTTCATTAGAGCCTCCGTGGAGGCTTGAGGAAGTCTCGTCACAGTCCAGGGACTGGGACTGACTCCTGACTTGCTGTAGCTCACCAAGGGCGTCAGACCTACCTTGCCTCCTGGCTGTTGCACAGTGCATCGTGATCTATGTGTGTGTTTGTGTGTGTTCTTTCAGGCCTTTTTAACTTTGTGTTGGTGAGTAAATGATAGAAAATCATGCTGGTGTGCTTGGAGAACAGCAGTCCCAGCAAAGGATAAAAGGACCAACCTCGTGGTTTGTATAAGAGGACTGCATTGGGATTGGGATCCCAAAGGTCCAACGAGACCCACCACAAATCTCACAGGACTGGGCGGTTTTATCTTTGCCACCGGTGAAAGCGTACGGTCAGAAAAATGTGTGGGTCCCAGAGATTATTAAACATAAGGATGTAGACGGCAACAAGTGAACATTAAATTAATGCGTTTTCCTTGCAGGATGCGAGAAGACGCCATCTATGTGTACGGTCAGAATGTTTGTAGGTGCGGGCAGGAGCTGTCACACACCCTGCAGGAATGGGCAAGAATAGATAACACACATTGCAGGAGCGGGCGGTGATGGTCAGAAATCCAGTAAGAGCAGGCAAGAGCGGGATTAGAAAACAGTCCTGTGCAGGGCCCTAGTTTGTTTGGTTGATTCACCACCGCAGTGCCATTTGATTGATTCATCACAACTCTGCTTCCTGCCAGCATGGGACATTATTTATGACTCATTTAAATTGCAGTAACACATTTTTTTATATCTGACATGGTACACCAGATCATGTGTTCACACATGAGTGCATAAATTTAGTCAGGACACACACTTATACACTCAAACACATACATATACTTCTCTTTTAATAGTGTTAAGGAGGGCTAAGAAATATGTTGGGGAAGAATATTTGAACATTTGCGCGCATGCGCGCACGCACACACACACACACACACACACAAACATACAAAGCACAAGTACTTTGCAGTTCTCATTATCTTCTCCTTTTGGGATTGTTTAAGAATTTATTAGAGGAATAAATTAGCAGTGACTGTTCGTTTTTTCCATTTTTCAAACATTTATCCATATAAAGGGACTGTGCGCATGGAGCACTCATGACTCAAATGCAAATATAATGATATAATGTTTCCACGTTACACTTCTCTCCATAGGACCGTTTACCGACGGCTCTGCATAGGGTGCGGAGATGCATTTTGTACCTTTAATGCTAAAGAAGTCTTATTTTCTCAGCAAAAGGGAAGTTCAAACATTATTCTCCTCAGACTTCAAAAGACAATGCTTGAGGGAATTGAAGAAGAGGAGCAATGATTTGAAAGTGAATTCTTTGTCGAAGTTTGCCTCCAAATGTTGCGCTGACTGCTTTGTGTCATCTGGCTGATGTTTCCATAGGTAGTTTCTTCCCATCAAACTGTAATGCTGCTAATCTTTCTCTATTTATTGAGGGCATTAAAGAAAGCACAGATGCATTTGGCTGTCAGTTTCACCATCTACTGCTTGAATACTCCTCTTGCATATGAAATACAATGCATTCCAATCACCTTATCGAACAGTAGAGTGTGTGAAGGTGGACATCATTAAAGTACGGTACAAGAATATGCCTATTATTTATAATTGTGATGTATTTTAATGATGTTATCTTGGACAGTGGGCTGTTTCCACCAGAGGTTTTGCAGTTTGCTGTCTCTATTTGGAGGTTCATTTCCAAGTAGGACTGATATGAGGTTTCTGTGTTCTGTGTGCTCATTCATATTTAAGGTGATCACTTACATAAATGAGGCGAGGCAAAGGGGAGCCTCACCTGGCTCCCTGGAGCATTGCCTGCTCATAATAGCCTCAGATAAATGGTTAAGGGTAGATGTGCTGCCAGTTGATTCACGCAGTGACTCATGCAGTGTTTACTCAGAGGAAGAACAGAAATAGCCAGCAAAATGAAGCGAAAGTTAAATGCCTAAAGTAATGGATTTGCTACTTATTCATCAGTTAGTTGATTTCAGATGATTTTTTATATTATTGTTGTAGTATCACGTCATTTGATTAGATCTTTGTTGTGTTTGGCATGTAGGTGGATGTAGTGTTCATGAAATTTATGTACGACAGCATCCTGAAAATTCAGACATATGCGCCGCTACTGAAAACTACAAGAGAGATTTAAGTCACAAAGTAAGATCAAAACTCGGAAGTTGAAGTGTCCTGCTATTTTTGGCTCAACAATGGCAGGAAAGTCAGGCTTGAAGTGAGACGAAGTTGAGCACGGCTACTCTTTGGTGTTTGCTCTTTGATCTGGTGGTGCTTTGATCGACCCTGGAGGACGTACTTAGACTGTCCATGTGGAGTTGAGGCTGCGGACTGACGGTCTTCACAGCACGGTTCCTCTGGTTCAAGTGGCCTTGTTTGACAAGGGAATGGCATTCACTGAAAGCTTTCTCGACTTCCATAGCTTGGTATTATGCTTTTTTGTTCCTTCTTTTCTTTGAGTCAGGGTGACCTTTCCAGTGCACTTCATCCTGAGTGAGACAAGAGTCAGAAAACATACAACATGCCCTTACAAAATCAGAGAGAAGGATGCGAAGTACCCTTCGGAGGGGAATGCATTGTGAAAATGGCAATTTTCTCTTTTCCGTTTGATTTATTCAGCAAAATGATAGATATGAGATGATTTTTTTCAGATCAAAGCAGATTTTTATTACAGTTGTTTTTCAATCAGTGCAATTGCAAAGGGAATGCAAGGAGACAGGCAAGATGATATCCAAACAAATGAGGAAAACAAATGATCATCTCAGATTATGTTTGCTTGAGACTTTTGCGGGATGCAGAGCAAGTTGTTCCGCAGGAAAAACTTCACTGTGGCTACATTTTTATTTTTATATTGTGTGTTTTTCTGCTGTTTCCTCTCTGCGAGTGAGCAGGAACCTATCTGTCTTTCCTCTTCTCCTTGACCACATCAATCTTGCCGCAGCCCAACCCTGCCACACACAGACACCCCCCACCCCCCATCTAATTCAGCCCACTCAGACTCATTGTTAAGGGGACATATTGGAAAACCATTAGCTCTCATTATGCTTTATAGCCACCCGTTCTCCCCATTCTGTCTTTTAATCACAATCCGTCCCTGTGTGTGTGTGTGTGTGTGTGTGTGTGTGTGTGCGCATGTGGCTGTATGCATGTGCGTACACTACAGCCACCCCCTGCTCAGCAGACAGTAATGAACCACTTTCACTATAATGCATTTGGGACACCACAAAGACCCCAGCCCCCTCCCTTTTTGCTTTTTATAGGGGAGTCAATGGCACAGGCGCCACTTTTTATGGCAGCCAATCCGAGCTGCAGCAATGTTGTGCATTCGTGAGCCATGTCAGCCGAATGGGATCGAATGCTGTGCAATAGAAATAAAAAGAAATTGGAGTGAATAGAGTATGGATTCCCTTTTTATATGAACTCCTCGTAGAGGTAGAAACCCTTATAGGAAACCTTATGAGTATCCATTTGCTCCTTGTAACTCCAAATAACCAGGCTCTCATAAAGTGCTGAATATCCTGTTACTGCTCTGTATTGAATTGTGCTCCGGTTTGATCAGCCATGACAGCGTGTCTATGTGTATGTATGCGCGTGTGTTTTTGCTGGCAGCACGGGAGAGATGGAATATTGACCATATGCTCTGTGACGGACACACACACACACGAAAACACCTCACACGTGCACACGCACGCACTCGTAATGAGTGGATTTAAATTCCGGTTGTTCTCTCCCGGCCAAGGCAACTGTCATCATTGTGCAGCAAAACTCCCATAATCCATCTGGGGCATGACAGCATCCTAACAGCTCCACTTCGCAGTGAGAAAAGCTATTCTTTATGTCTCTCCATTTCTCTATCTCTTCCTTCTTTTCTCCATTTTCACTCCCTCCTCTTCACATTTCCCCTCCGGACTGGTTTTTATTCTTCTCTCTTGTCTCTTTTCGCTTTTCCAATTACATTTTTTTTTTCACTTAATCTCCCTTTTCCTCTGGAAACTTTTATCTGGGTTTGATTACACTAGAGAGGCTCAGTAGGAGGAAAAATGAGTGATAGCTCGAAATTATTGTTGACCACTATGATGATGGTAATGAAGATATTCATAATCGTAATTACGCTATAGAGATGATAGAGATGAGACCGACAATGATACTATTAACGACGATGATGAAAATGGAGATGAGGATGATGACAACGAGGATGATGATGACAATAGCGATGATGATAATGGTGCTTGGTGGCTTTCTAAGCGGTGTGCATGTTTTCACCTTGGCCCAGATGGAGATAGACAGACGGAGGGGACAGACGCCAGCCGCAAGAGGGACGCTCGCTCCTCAGCTGGCCACCACAAGAGTGAGGACACCAGCGACAGCAGGGAGGACGAGGCTGCAGTGAGTCTTTCATCGTTGCTGTCTGTCTTCTGTTCTGTCTCACCACTCTGGACTGAATATTAATACGATGTCACAACCTAAACACACACACCCTACACACCCACATCCCTCCGAGTAAGCAGCAACAAGGTTTATCTCTCATGTGTGTGTGTGTGTGTGGAGGAGCTCATCAGGGCTCAAACAGTCGCAGTCTGGATCTTAATTATCATCAAAAACACAGGGCTCTGTTCTCTGTGCACCCACTGATTAGTGCTCCTGTCTGCTGGCACCCAAAAAAAAAAACAGTCCCATCTCTCCATAATTGGAACAAGATAAGGGACGATGCAACATAAACTAGATCCATGTTAAAGTGTTGATGATATCGGCTAATATAGGTGCGGAAACATTACAGAATCTCTAATCAGATTGTATTGTTTTGAAACTTTTCTTTTTTGCTCATTAAAACCCATCTACAGTTGAGCCTCATGACCCCACCCACTGCACTGAATTTCAATAATGTTTCAAGTTCTGGGAGGCCACAGCTCAAAATATTTTCTGAATACATCACGCAATCTACCCACCTCCTTGAGCATTTATTTGTCTGATCGGTTTCATGCAGAGAGTTGTGAAATTAGACAAAGTGATAACCAACTGCAGGACATGAGACAGAATTTGGACCACAGCCAGAGATCATTAGCATTTGGTACATGCAGCAGTAAACCGCCGAGACAATCTGACACTTAAACTGCTATTTCCCCTGACAGTGGGTGGATTTTAGGGTTAAGTACAGCAATTTTGGACCCGCAGATAGTTTCCAAGTATTGCAGAACCTGCAGAGCACATTGGCTCCGACAGTGTGTTGAGACAGCAAGCTCCTGTTGATTCCGACAAGCAGTCCAAATGAGGATTATTATCAAAATTCCTCCAAAAACTTTGCATAACATGAATGGTGATAACCTGCTGCCATTACTCTGATAGCCCAGTGCAAATGTTTGTAATGTTCTCTACTAAAGTGAATTACAAAGAGAAATATCTGGGTTAAGTGTCGGCTATAGTCAGGGAATGTTGATTTCATACACAGCTGCTTATTTTTGGTTGCCTGGTCTCAACAGGATGGACTTTGACACCAAAACGAGATTGAAAACCACTGAAAATAAGACCTCTGGGTGTGACCGACTTAAAGCAGCGCTTCACCCCCCAAAATCACAATTCGTATAACAATTACTCACCATTTGTAAAGATAAATTCATGAAGAAAAGTGTTTTTCTTGCATGCTTCTGCAGTGAATGAAGAATCCAAAAATGGAGAAAGTTCCAGAAAGATGAATTGTAGCCACTGGGAATCTAACAACAGCAAAGCTATAACAAAACATCCGTTTACAAACTCTAACACAACTTGTGCCGTATAATCCAAGTCTCATTTATCCAGCTGTATGCTCAATACGTCCCAAACACATTCATTTAAGCTAAAGTGTAACTATTTAACTCACTTTCACCTAAACAGTCTCAGGTATAGACAAATAATGCACCTGCGCTGTTTATGTAGAAGTGGGGTGAGTAGTTGTTAAACTCATGCACTGAGCAGTCAAAAACATACTGTACTCTTGTTCTTTATCTCTTTTTTATTCACTCCAGTTGTACCTGGCTGTTTTCTGTCTTCTTTAGTAAAGAAAATGACTCTTTTAATACTCTCAAGGTTTCGATGCTCATCCATGGCCTTGAGGCAGGCAATTTATTATTAGTCCCTCTTCCCTCACCCTCAGCCAACCAGGTTTCCAGGCCAGCACTTGCCACTCATGTTGACAGGCTGTCTACCTTGAAGTGTTTTTTTGCCTGAGGCTCAGGTATCTTCAAAAGTACCTGAGGTGCCAAATAATCTGGCCGTCAAGGCAGATAATCTGCAGTAATTAAGTGTTCACCACACATGTGGCTATGTTGAACATTTGATATGCAAGAGGCCAAACTCACTGTAGAGCAAAGGATGTAGCCAGATAGATGTAAGCGATAAGGCCCAATGAGGGGTCCACTATCACTTTTTAATGGCTGACATGGAGGCGTGAACTGTCTGACACACAGCGGAGGGCGGTTGCCTCCTCAAAGGCCATTAAAAAGTGTTACTGGACACCTCGAAGGGCATTATCCTCCTTATACCGTGGTCACTTTGCAAAGAAATAAAAAGAATTTTCATTCGTATTTTTTGCTTTTTGTGGTCAAAATCTGATTTTTTTTTACAAGCCACAACAGGCAGCATTTTTGCGTCTTCACATTCATTGTTTTCAATATAGATGTTCAGCAGGCGTGCTTAAACAGCAGCACGGTCATGCATTCATGTGTTTCCAGGTTCCCATTTTTCAGGCCATGACAGCTGTGCCCTGAGATAAACCGAGTTTAACTTTTGAAACGCAGCAGCGCGCACTGCACATCGTGTGACAAGGACCAACCAATCACAGCCAATGGATATCTTTCCCTTCTTCTGTAAAAATCAGTCTGTGATAAAAATAGAGAAGAAGTTGATCATTTTAGTGCAGGGCTACCCAGAGTTTTACATCTGTCCCATGGATGATAGGCCTACACGGCTGAAAGAAGATCAGCTCTGCACTCAGGATTTCAGGTAAATAGGCTATGATATGATGCTTCTTAAGGTTGCTTAGCAGCCTCAGACACAACCTCCCGCCACACTCTTGAAAGCTGGACCAAAAAGGCACAAGAGTAGCACCCAGCGCTTGACCTCGCATTTTCGAGGTGTTTTCCAGCATGTGTACCATCCCTAACATGGTTTCCTTGATCACACCTGAGGGTTTACCTGATACCTGGACCAATCATTGAAGGTTCTAATGCAATGGAAACGTTATTTGCCACTCCAGTACAAAGGACAAACCTTAGATACAACCTAGCAACAGGAGATATTTGTAGTCAACCCAGCTTATTGGACCCTTTGGCTCAGCTATTAGCCAGAAAGTTAACGTTATGCTACCAAGATTCAAAGTCAATAACACTGCATGCTGTTGACAGTCAGTAATTTGACAGTATGTTTAACAACAAGACTGGCTAGCTATCCAGCCATGTTGTTGTCCCAAATCGAAATCAAGATTTTCGCGAACAAACAATACACCATATGTAATGTAACTGTCGGCCGCAAGCCCTAAGTGGCGAGTTGAGTAGTGGGCAGCATGTTACATGATTGCTTAAGTTCAGAGGAGCAGGGTATTACCTGCAGGATGTGTTGCAGTCTCCCTTCTGTAGTGTTCAGAGGATAAGACACTGAAGGTCTACTCTCAGTATTGTAAATTATTTGTAAACAGATTAGAGATACTGGTACTATTATGTAGCAAGTGCATTATTAACAATGAACAGACAGTTTCACCAGAACTACTAAATAGGTGCCCATTATCAGTTTTTAATGGACACCCTGCAGCCAATCAGAATCAAGTATTCACCCAGACCATGGTATAAATTAATGCAATGTATCAGATGTTGTTATTGGTATTTGTATAAAGTTTTTTCCTCTCTGCTTGCTAGAGAGGATCATTACACTGGCAAGAAGGGAAGTCCCTGAAAAGCTGCTGTATATGGAAGCAGTTAGAGTGTAGTGTATTCTACGAGATGATCAGTGTTTCTATCTTGGTCTTCATCTTGCTTCTATCAATACATAGCACATTATTTGGAACTGATTTTAAATATCTATTTAAAGTTGCATAGTATGCGTCTTTCTGTCAGACACGTGTCCCTGTATCATACCATAGTGGTCACAGTGATTTCTGACCTGCATGCGCGGCATAACGTCACTCTAATACACCGTGCAAAATGTACAGTATGTTCTTGGCCTCACACACGCTGTGGCTGCAGGAGTTTAAGACCCGAGCACATTTAAAGTTAAAACCCCAAATTGTTACAATATCGCTGTATTTCTGTTGACTAGCCGAGGGGACCATCGGAGAGAAGGAGACGATATATCTTATTCCATAAAATGCAGTCGTCTTCAAAATCGATTTAACTGACGGCTTTAGGAAATGTGCTTGAAAAGATAAGAGTCATGAAGGGGAGCCGGCAGGCTTTTTTTTTTTTTTTTTCTGAACGGCCCTCCTCTAAACTCTAAACCTGCCTGATAGCGTTAGGGCTTCTCTTCTGTAACAGTCAAATGAAAAGCGGCTCTCAGGATGAGTCAGTCTTGTGCGCCGAAGCTCAGATATTTCAGCTGCACTGTAAGCATTCTGCTGAAGTCACTAAAACATGTCAGAAAGTTTATGGCATGCTCTTTATGAATTTTAATAGCATCACTTTGTCATTTGTTCCCTAAACGACGGGTGATAGATTTGGTTTGCTTCAAATAATGATCACTTAGATGAACTGTGTTCATACTCGGACGGTAAACACGCTCTAAATCATCACAATTACAATATAGGAGATAGAATTGGCCTGCTGCAGGAGGTGCTTAGTTGGATTTATGATCTGTAGAATATAAGACAGAGTCCCATTTATGGTTATCTATAACACTGCTTTATTTGTAACAAGCACTGTGTCCTATCCTTCAAAGGTGTGTGTGTGTGTGTGTATGTCAACACAGCTCACCCTTAAGACTTTTCTCTTCAGCTCTATAACCGCATCTCTCTTCATCTATAATTTACATGCCCATTTACCAGCTCTTTGTTCCAGCAATGCTTGACCTCTGAGTGCGTTTGTGTGTGCTCCTATACGTGTGTGCGAATCATACCATGCTTCACATCTCTCTCTAGACTTTGCTGCTCGTTCAGCACCAACATCTTGAGGAAATCCAAAGCAACATAATTGACACCTCCTGTCGATGTGACGCAGCTCCAGTGAGAGCTCTCCTTCACTTAGAAAATGTCAGTGCCAAAGGCCAAAGCTGCGGTCCGTGTTTCCAGGCCTGATAGCCAAAGTTAGTTCAACACCAGACGTATGTGAGTGTGTGTGTGTGTGTGTGTGTGTGTGTGTGTGTGTGTCTAAGAGAGTGAATGTCAGAAACAGAGAGACAGACAGGGATGATATAGTGTGTTTAATGTG